CCCCTATATAAAAAAAACTGCAGGACGATCTTTCCAAATGGGCCCTCCATCCCCCTCATGGTTTGGTAGGTTGTACTCAGTAAAATTGAATACTTTGCCTAAAATTCTGTACTTGTTTCGTACTTTGCCGATAATGATAAACATGTCTGCCTGTGTATTTTCCAACAGAAGATATTAAAATTCATATGGGGAAATAAGAGACCCAAGGTGAATAGATGTACGCTTTTTGCTTCAAGATTGATGGGAGGACTGGGGGGCTCCAGACCTATCTAGATATTTCTATGCTGCCCAATTGGTCCCATTGATCCACTATCATTCTAAGCACGTTCGCCCCTGTGGAATCGTCCCATGTCCCTAATATCCCGATCAGCATATGATGTGGCTGAAAGCCAGAGACAGACCCGCAATTTTGTGTCCCACGTTATCATTTTCCCTTCCCTTATGGGATAGATTGGTGAGTAAGCATGGCTTTAAATCCCCCCACACTCCCCTAGCCCCTTACTGGGCAATCTGGCATTTCCCCCAGGACTCAGCCACTCTGCTTTTGAATGGTGGACAAATAAAGGTTTTCTTCGGTTGGTGGATTTTTGCGACCATAGAGGCCCCATACCTAAGATAGTATTTCAGGAGACACATCACCTCCCCACTAAGGAACTATATCACCTCTCACAAATAACCCGCTTTCTCCATACCGTTAGATGCACCAGTGACCTGTCCTCGTTGACTCTAATGGAACATTTCTGTAGAACTCTGGATAAGCACACTGGTCATATATCCATGATATACACTATCTTACAAGAGGATCCCACCAAATTACCCTACATGGAACGATGGGAACAAGACCTGGGGGAAGTATTAGAGGTGGCAGAGTGGAATAAACTGGCGCAGCTCAATTCCAAAAATTATATCAATACTTCATTGATCGAAGCTAATTATAAGGTTTTCTTGCGGGGGTATTTGGTACCCTCCAGTTTGGCGTCTTTTTTTCAGGGGGCCTCCTCCAGTTGTTTCTGTGGCTGCGAACAGGAGGGAACGGTTCTCCATACGTAGTGGACCTGTAGCAAAGTAAAGCGATGCTGGATTCACACATATAAAACTTTACATATTCACTTACCCAGGTTTATCTTATCAAATGTCCACATCAGGCCCTCCTGGGAAAGCTGCTGGAGGGCATACCTGGATATGTGAGATGTCCGATTGCATTTATATTTACTGGTCAGAATATCCATTGCACGCTCCTGGAGGTCCCCCATGGTCTCCCTTGACCTCCTGAAGGCTAAGTTGACTTGGATAATGGTCAATGAATGTCTAACCACTATTCTTCATGATAGGATGGTCTACTTCGGAAAAACTTGGAAACCTTGGATGAAATATGGTGGACAATATGCGGTATCTATAAAAAGTACACATCTTATACCGCGCCTGGCTGCCCGCTGGTTCCTCCTCCCTGTGTCCTCTCTCCCTCTCTATTCTTCTTCTGTCGCTCTTTCCATTCGTTCCTTCTTCCCTCTCTTCTTCAATCCTTTCCCTTTATGTTTCTTTCCCCATTATTGTATAGTTAGCTAAAGGCAATGGGAGGTGTTCCCCCTTATTGCCTGCTGAACATTGGAGGGAGGTCGACCCTCCACACAGGTCATGGTCGTCTCTGATGCCAGGCCTGACAAAAAGTTTTACTTTAGCTTTCGTTTTCTCTCTTCCTTTATTGTTACTGGCCTTACATTTACAAGTCCCAATGGGACCCTTCTGGCTATCAATGACTGACAATTGTCCTAGACAATTGTCAACGTATTGACGTCACTACGCTCGGCGTCTTCACTGGGTGCGGCGCCCACGAGGCGGGAAGGAACGGCGGTGTCACAGCTCCCTGCTAGGTAGGCCCAAGACCCTCTGAGAACTACCAGTGGGCTATTATCACAGCGGTTCGCAAACGGCAATCCCTCAGGGAAACATACCTTCCACCGGTGGCAAGTTATTTAAAGCTTACGGCTGTTGAGATTTACAGAGCCTACATGGTGTTAATAGGGCATGTTTTATGGGCCTAATTTACCCTGTATACTCGGGGAATTTTTTTGGAAATCCTCTTTGGAGGAGAATCTACATATATATATATATATATATATTATATATATATATATATATATATATATATACGCTATCCTATTCAGGTATTTTTTGCTGTGACATAGCCACATCCTTATAAAACCGCAAATAACCTTCTCAAATTGAGCAATTTTTGGAAACCCTTTATTGGGTATATTAAACTCAGGTATCTACGGCCTGCTATATGCTACATACACATTATATGTGTTTGAAATCCACGCATCGTGTATACCTGGTTCCTCACCCCCATATGCATCTTTGAAAAAGCATCAAGGACCTGATCTTATTTCAAGTCGACAGGAGTCTTCTTGATCCTTATTGATGGTAATATATCCACATTTTATGTGTGTTTTGTTTTCGGGGTCACCTGATGCCCATGATCTATACATTTATTATCTTTTTCTATATATATCCTCAGAATCATTTGGTACTGTGGACCTTGTTTCATTTGGGGTGGCTATCCAGGAATCAGGGTATCTACGGCCTGCTATATGCTACATACACATATTGGGGTGAAATCACGCATCCAGGTATACACTGGGATTCCTCACCCCATATGCATCTTTGAAAAAGCATCAAGGACCTGATCTTATTTCAAGTCGACAGGAGTCTTCTTGATCCTTAGTGATGGTAATATCCACATTTTATGTGTGTGTTTTGTCCCTACACGTGAGAAGCGGGTATACACGTGAGAAGGGCGGTATAATAGTCTCACTATTGAGAAGGTAACAGCAGTATCCATTGACTATTGTGGAGGGAGGCCTGGTAAATTTTGGATGTGATTTGGGTTCCATATTTCTATACATATACTATGTATTTTAGTGTTCCAGCTTGTACATTCCAGGAGGTCCCTGACATATACTGGGAAAACACACCTATTGAATACATGGTTCACTCAAATATAAAGCGGGAAACCTACGGAAACCCAGGATAACTATTTCATCATTACACAACTCTGCCTTATATGGTGCTCTGTTGGCTAAGATGACCCTAAATTGAAGACGCTAAGTGTTTTTTAACATGATTTTATTTTTTTCATATGTACACCGTGCTCATGTTTAACCTCCCTATGATCTATGTGATCAAATAAAGTATTGTTAAAATTCCTTTGAATTCATATTACTCCGCGTGGATTATTTAGAAACCTTCTTTTTCAGATAGGTGTGTCCTTGTCACACTATCATATTGCTTAGTATGTCATTCACCTTACTAACCGCTCCGTATCCGCCACCCCCCTCTGCCAATCCCTCCACTGGCTTCCAATTGCCCAACGGATAAAATTCAAAACGCTAACACTGACGTACAAAGCCGTTCATAACACTGCCCCAAACTACATCACCGATCTTGTCTCCAAATATCACCCTAACCGTACTCTCTGCTCCTCACAAGACCTCCTACTCTCTAGCTCCCATGTCTCCTCTTCCCATGCTCGTCTCCAGGGCTTCCCCCATCCTCTGGAACTCCCTACCCCAATCTATCAGACTATCGCCTACTCTGCTCACTTTTAGGCGCACTCTGAAAACCTGTCTCTTCAGGGAAGTCTACCCCGCCCTCAGCTAATACTGGAATTCTCTACTCTCCCAACCACTCCATCCTCCACAGTTATTACCTTTTGTACCACTATCCCCTCCCTACTAGATTGTAAGCTCCAAGGAGCAGGGCCCTTCAATCCCTCTTGTATTGAACTGTATTGTTACTGTACTGTCTCCCACCATATTGTAAAGCGCTGAGCAAACTGTTGGCGCTACATAAATCCTTTATAATAATTTGCATCTACGAGGGATGAGGGGGGCTTTGGCACTTTCAATTTTTTTTACACTTTTTTTCATTCAACTTTATTGCTATCACAAGGTACGAACAACATCCCTTGTGATAACTTTAGCAGTGGTATGTACTCTCTATGGAAATATCTGGGGTCTGTTCCATGACCCTTCAACACATCCGATCAAACACCAAAACCGGAAGTGACAAAATCCTCATTGCTTCAGGCTTCATTGATCACAAAGAAGAGGAAGGAACAGATGTTCTTCACTCTTCTCTGAGGACAACAGTCCTGGGCTCCCACGATGGAACAGGAGAGCGTAAGAATGGTGGTGGTAGGCCAAGGCTTGACAAATTTAATTTGAATAGAAGAAAAAAAAAAAAAGACAGGAAACAGGTTTTTTTTAGCGTAGCGTGGGTTGTCAGTTTAAAACAAGTAAATATGATATACTTTCCTATCTATTTATTAATGCCACCAGTATAAGGATTAAAAATAGTCAATGTTGAGTTAGAAAGTGAAGTTCAGCTTTAAGACCGGGTTCACACTTTGCGCTGCGGGATACTGCATGTAATTTGCACAGGAATCGCACCGCATTCCTGTGCAAATTATATGCAAATGTCTCTGCAGTGCAATTTGAGCCATACACTTTGTATGGCTCAAATCGCATCCACACTAAAAAGGTGCAAGACTCTTTTTTAAAACTGCACCGGAATCACATCACATACGTGTTCTCTGGAAATTGCATTGCGTTTTGCAACCTGTTCCAGGGTTCCATTAATTTATTATTGGCACCGCACCAGATTGCATGATTGTGATGCGATTGCAATGCAGTGCGATAAACGCACAGGAATTTCCAGAGTTTCCCGCACCGCATTGGTGTGAACCCGGGCTCAGTGTGTTTTTTTTTTAACATTTGCATTGATGAACAGCTGCGCAAATATTATGCAACATAAAAAAATGCCATTTTATTCTCCAGGGCCCTTGCTTTCATAAAATATATAATGTTTGGGGGTTCTAAGTAACTTCCCAGCAAAAAAAATGGAGATTTTTACATGTATGTCAGAATCAGCGTGGACAACAAATGGTTAATATGTAGGTGTTGTTATTCTGGATGAATTTCATAAAGCAGCCCACTCACCTAGGTTACCAGCAGGGTCTTTAAACGGTGCTGCTCTTTTCCTGCAAATACAAGAATCATTGATGTAATTATGAGAAGAAGAGATACATCATCCCGGTCCCTCATATCCAGGGCACTAGTTACCCGGCTCTGGTGTGTCCAGCATCGCTTGAATGCTCATCCACCCTCCCGGACATCTCACTTCCTTCCCCGTGTCTCATCTGCTCCCCACTCTGACCGCCCTGTCCCGGCAGGGTCCTCAATCTTCGGGGTTTCCCTAAAGTAAATAAAGGACCGCTCATGCTGCACTCACTGCGCCGCCATGTTGTTTGGAGTCGGTATCCAGGCAACCGGAACTTCCAATAAGCAGCGCCCGGCCGGTCACCTGACATGTGAGACTGCTGTGTGTCTTAGACTGGCAGTGAGGTGCTGCTGGAATGACGTCACCTTTCCCCGTAATTGTCATACTGGGTGTACATGCGCAGAGCTATCAATGAGAGAACTCTCTCCTTACCCTCATTGTCTATGAACAGGAGTGTCTGCGTCTGTAAATTAACCACTTGCCCTCCTGAGGATTTACCCCCTTCCTGACCAGGCCATTTTTTGTGAAACGACACTGCGTTACTTTAACTGACAATTGTGCGGTCATGCAATGCTGCACCCAAATTAAATTTACGTCCTTTTTCTTCCACAAATGGAGCTTTCTTTTGGTGGTATTTGATCGCCTGTGCGTTTTTCAGCTTTTGCGTTATAAACAAAAAAAGACCGACAATTTTGAAAAACAATATTTTTGACTTTTTGCTATTAACCATTAGCCGCCCGGCCTATAGCCGTTTGGCGGCCGCAAAAATGCTTTAGATTTCCAGGGTATATGCCATTTGGCGTCCTCCCGCACATGCGCAGATTGCGCTCCTGCAGAGCCGCGCAGCGGCGCGATCTGTCACCGGCCGTGTACCTCGGACACGGTCGATGACAGATCTGAGTACCGGCCCCCGTTGCCGGTACCATGTGACCTGCTGTGACCAATCACAGCAGGTCACATGACAGTTGTATACAATGGATGGCTTCATTCATGCCATCCATTGTATACTAGTGCCTAGCTGTGAATGGTCACAGCAGGTCACATGCACATGTCATGTGATAAGCTGTGGCCAAATCACAGCTAAGCACAAAAAAAAAAAAAACCTGAATGAATCGATGTCATTCAGGTAAATGCTTGCTTATAGCAAAGTAATTCTTTGCTATAAGCAAATTGTGTAAAAAAAAAAAAAAAATACTGATCACTTCCCCAAAGTAGTACAATGTTACTATGGTAACATTGTACTACTTTGGTCATAGTAAAATATGAAAAACAAATCTAAAAAAAAATTAAAAATAATAATAAAAAAAATATATATATATTTTTTTTTTCATACTGTCACCAGTCAGTGTCCCTGATCACCGCCATGCCAGTTATATGATGACGCTGCACTGCACTGGTGACAGTATGTAAAAAAATAGTGAAAATATTTTTTTTAATTTTTTCATTTTCCGAAAAATTATGACAAAAAAAATACAACTTCAAAAAACTCGCCATTCCTCTTATGAAGTACATCGGACTGTCTACTTTACAAAAAGGGGTCATTTGGGGGATATCTGTACTGTTCTGACATTCTTGGACCTCGGGAAATTAGATTGGCTGTCAGTACTTCAGGATTGATCAATTTTCAGATCTATACCATAGTTTGTGAACTCTATAACTTTCCTACAAACTAAAAAATACATCCTAGTTTGGGTTATTTTCACCAAAGATGTAGCAGAATACATCTTGGCCTAAATTTATGAAGAACAATTATTTATTTGTAAACTTTTATAACAGAAACAAAGAAAAACGTGTTTTTTTTTTTCAAAATTTTTGGTCTTTTTTTGTTAATTTAGCAAAAAATAAAAACCCCGGCGGTGATTAAATACCACCAAAAGAAAGCTCTAGTTGTGTGAAGAAAATGATAAAATTTTAGTTTGGGTACAATGTTGTATGACCGCGCAATTGTCAGTCAAAGTGTGAGAGAGCTGAAACGTGAAAAATGGCCTGGGCAGGAAGGGGGTAAAAGTGCCCGGTATTGAAATGGTTAAACAAGTCCAGTAAAAAAATTTAAAAAATCAAATTTCGGCATAAATTTAGGCCAAAATGTATTCTGCTCCATGTCTTTGCTAAAAAAAATTCCCAATACGTGTAAATTAATTGGTTTATGTGAAAGTTATAGTGTCTACAAATGGCAGTATAGATAATGGAATTTTTTTTTTTTTTACTAGTAATGGCGGCGATCAGCGACTTATAGCAGGACTGCGGGGGGCATTCTGACACTGGGGGGGGGACTGATTTGGTGTCACTGACATCCCCAGTGACACCAATACAGTGATCAGTGCTAACAAAAAGCACTGACACTGTACTAATGGCTCTGGGCAGGAAGAGGTTAACATGTGGGGTGATCAAAGGGTTAACTGCGCTGTTTTACTACGTGGGCTGTGTGTTTCACTGTAAGCACACTGCTTTGTATGGCTGTACTATGCAGAGCCATACAAAGCAGTGTTCAGGAGCCGACAGAGGAGAGATCTGTATTGTTTACATACAGGACTCTCCCCTGTCGGAGATACTCGGCGAGCACCGGGACCCTGTGATTGACAGACGAGGCCGATGGGAGTGGAGTGGGTAGGGCGCGCACACGGCTCGCATGCGCCCCCTACCCAGACCTGCAAAATCACACATATATACATGATTTAGTACACCCCTGACGCCCTGTAGCAGTATTTCTGCTATAGGGCGGAGGGGAAGCGGTTAAAGATTAAACTATTACAATGTCCTGTCTGGATAGTATAGGCTGTACATGTAGGACATACTCACACGGGGTACAGTTCACCCCCCCCCCCCCCCCCATTGGTCTACAACAAGATAATGGATAATATAAGATTTCATTAACCCCTCCATAGCTGGACACTTTCATCCCCTTCCAGTTCAGGGCCTATTTTTTGGCTTTCAGAGCTGTCACACTTTAAGGCCCCGTTCACAGCTCGAAGCTCCAAAACGTTCAGGAAGAAAAAAAAATAATTATTCTGTATGGAGAGGGTTCACGTCTCCATTCTGAGTTGCCCAAACCTCAAAAACGTTTTGGAGCTACTTCTGTAGCTCAATTCAGGCAGATTGATGCAGTTTTCAAACAGGCTTTTCTCCAGAGAAATGCACTGAAACCTGCGATTTGCACATTTTTTAGCATTTTTGCATGTTTTTAGAGTGTTTTTCTGCTCTAATGAAAAACAGTTAAAAAATATTACTAAATGAATAAATAAGTTAGGTTAAACTAGAGCTATAGGCAAAACTGTTTTTTTTTTTTCATTTTGCATAGAGTTATAACCCCAGTCACTCTTTTTTTTTTACATCTGTGTCTCATTGTGGAGATTTCCCTATACTTCCTGTCTCGTAGCCAAACAGGAAGTGAGAGGAAATCCCTACAAATTAAGGGAATATTAAGGGCCCCCAGGTCACCAGAACTAGCCTTCCCATTGGAAGATTTCTCCTTTATTAGTTCTCTCAGGACAACCCAAAATTTGGGATTTTCTTTCACTTTCAATGATAATGGTAACAGAACAAATAGGGTGAATCCCCCTAATGGGGACACATACAACCATAAAAACTGACAAGGGTTCTAATCTCTTTGCACTCTATCCAAAACTAAAAAAAGTTTTGGCTTTAGTTATACTGCAAATACAATGCTCAAAAAAGATAAAGGAACACTGTGAAAACACATCAGATGGTACTCAGTAGTTTGTATGGTAACAACATGCTTGTATGTATGCCTGACAACATTGGGGCATGCTCCTAATGAGATGTTGGATGGTGACCTGGGGTATTTCCTCCCAGATCTGGACCAGGGCATCACTATGCTCCTGGACAGTGTGAGGTGAAACCTGGCGGCATCGGATGGACCGAAACATGATATCCTAGAGGTGTTCTATTGGATTTAGGTCAGGCGAGTGTGGGGGCCATTCAATGGTATCAATTCCTTCATCCTCCAGGAACTGCCTGCATACTCTCGCCACATGAGGCCAGACATTGTTGTGCACCGAGAGGAACCCATGACCCACTGCACCAGCGTAGGGTCTGACAATGGGTCCAAGGATTTCATCCCGATACCTAATGGCAGTCAGGGTGCCATTGTCTAGACTGTAGAGGTCTGTGTGTCCCTCCATGGATATGCCTCCCCAAATCATCACTGACCCACCACCAAAACGGTCATGTTGAGCATTGTCCATGGCTTCTCCAGACACTTTCATGTCTGTCACATGTGCTCAGGGTGAACCTGCTCTCATTTGTGAAAAGCAGAGGGTTCCAGTGGCAGACCTGCGAATTCTGGAGTTCAGTGGCAAATGCAAATTGAGCTCTATGGTGCCAGGCAGTGAGCACAGGCCCTGCTAGGGGACATCGGGCCCTCAAACCACCCTCATGTAGACTGTTTTTTTTTTTTTTATCAATACATTTTTATTGATTTTATACAGGGAACATACACAACGAACCGCCTCAGGCAGCTTGTAGTGCAGACATTGTTATGAATACAGAAAGGACAGAGAACATAACAAAACATAACAAAAACATAAATGAGACAAGGGTATGCAGTTGGATTACCATTCGTTAGGTCACATATTAAGGCTAGAGTGGATTACATTGAAAGTCATCAATTTGAATTTGCTAAGTGCACCTCTTCAACTAGGAGGTCCTCATGAAGACTGTTTTGATTGTTTGGCCAGAGACATCCACACCAGTGGCCTGCTGGAGGTCATTCTGTAGGGCTCTGGAAGTGCTCATCCTGTTCCTCCTTGCACAATGGAGCAGATACTGGTCCTGCTGATGGGTTAAGGACCTTCTACGGCCCTGTCCAGCTCTCCTAGAGTAACTGCCTGTCTCCTGGAATCTCCTCCATGCTCTTAAGACTGTGCTGGGAGACACAGCAAACATTCTGGCAATGGCACGTATTGATGTGCTTCCTGGAGGAGTTGGACTGCCTATGCAACCTCTCTAGGGTCCAGGTATCGCCTCATGCTACCAGTAGTGACACTGACCCTAGCCAAATGCAAAACTAGTGAAAAACAGTCAGAAAAGATGAGTAGGAAAAAAAATGGCAGTGGCCTCCACCTGTAAAATCATTCCTGTTTTGGCGGTTGTCTCATTGTTGCCCATCTAGTGCACCTGTTCTTCATTTCATTAACACCAAAGCAGCTGAAACTGATTAACAACCCCCTCTGCTACTTAAATGACCAGATCAATATCCTA